CGTTTTGCAAACTAATTTCACCAAAATGTTCTAAATGAAAATTGCTAATTTATGAATATTTTTTTTTGTAATTTTAAAAATCTCTAAAAGAATTTCTATAAATTTTCTATTAAAAAATAATAATAATAATATTATTATATAATAAATAATATTAAAAAAAGAAAATATCTATTCCCACTTTAGTAAAATCCCTATTTAGATATTTTGCCAATGTTAATAGAGAACAAAAGCTGGTAAGAGAGGAGTTAAGGGAAAATGATCAGAGGAGAGAGCGAGGAAATTTTTTGATTTTGGAGATCTTAAAGCCGTTTTTATTCGTCGGCTCAGTTGAGAAACTTGTCCGTCTCGAAGTGAGATACATTATGCCCATCTTAGTTTTAAAAAACATATAAATTTTAGTGAATATTTCAATTAAAATTTTGTAATTGTTAGTGAAAAAAAATTGGTATATCTTTGCACCGGTAAAACTTTCACCGTTTTAATTTTGTATGTTATAAAAATTATGATTATGTACATTTTAAAAATTTCTAAAAATTTTACACCTTGTGCTTTAAAATTTGCATATTTTTTATTGAATAGAAAATTATCTGGATATTGAAAAATAGTATTGTAGTACAATAAAAGTTTTAAAAAATTATTTTACACAACTCTGGTAATTTGGTAATTTTCTGAAAATGTGTACTTTTGCCTAGTTGAATTTTCTGTTGTCCACTGTTACACAACACTGTAAAATTTTGATACATGCTTAATTAATATTTAATTATTATAATGTGATGATATTTGTGCATATATGATTAAATTATATATGTTGGGAGTCATTAGAGGCTATAATCCTTTGAGATTATATCTTTGTCAGGAAATTGCTAGGCATTATAAGGGACTAGAATCCTTTGAGATTCTATCTGAGATAGGAATATATGATAGATACTGGTGTTATAAGCACAAACAAAAAGGAAGTCATAAGGGGTTAGAATCCTTTGAGGTTCTGTCTGGGTCCGAGAAATGCGATATGAACTACTATGTGATATGAATTTCAATTTATTTATTTGTTCAACACTGTTATTTAAATAAGAGAATAACTATTATGCATTTATTAAATTTCTCAGTTTAGTGATTTATTTAATTTGCATTTAACTGCTTTTAAATATTCAACAAAATATTTGATAAAAAAATATTTAAAATTTTAAATTGGTTTGTGTGGTTTGCTGAATTGTTATAACTCACTATAATTTTGCTTTTGATTTTCAGGATCTAGGAAGGGGAAAGAGTTTGTGGACTAGTAGTTAAAGATCAAATTTGAGATCATAGGAATTTTGCTATTTTGATTTTTTATACAGTCATTACAAGTTAAATTTTTTAGTTAGGTAGCTTTTGCATGTAGCCATGAACTGTAGTGTAGATATTTATTTTGATGAAAAGAAAAAAATTTTGTGGATGAATTTAATTTTTATTATTTGGACATTTTAGTAGCTATGTAGTCGGGTAGTTTATTTCAATGAATATTGGAAGAAAATGTTGAAATAATTTTAAAACTAGATCTTGAGATTTTCCTGTCATAGCTCAATGCGATAGGACCTATCCTGGTCGGGTTGGGTTGTGACAGATATATTGTGAACATACTCGATATAATTGTTTTTAGAATGCTTGTTAAGGCTCATTTGTTAAATTAACGAACATGTGAAAATAGAGCGCATTTATAGCTTGATAATGCTTGTTTGTTTAAAGCTCAATAAGCACGAAACAAATCGAACATGAACAAAAATGAACCAAATATGAACACCAATTAATTTAAACAAACCAAGCTTGAACAAAAACAAAAAAGCTCTAATTGAGCTCATACCAAACTTGAACAAGTTGATAATAAACGAACTTAAACATGAACACACATATACCAGGCTCAGCTCGATTCGTTTGCAGCCCTAGCTATAAGCACATTCTATTATATTGATGTGCATGGGGAGTTATAAGGATGAATTCTATTACTTGTTATTCTGAGATATGAGGTATATGTTTATTTACTTCATTGCAATAAAATTTAAGTTTTCTTTTTGCAAGTATTGTTTTGTTTAATGCATTTATTATCTTGAAATACTTTTACAATTCAACTACCTATTGTAATAAATAAATCATTTGGAAATTCAAATCGGTTTAAATGTGGACTGTTGAGCTGTGTTATCTTATAGCTATTTTGCTTTCTATTTTTAGGAACTTATAGGGGGAAAGGCCAGTTAAGTGGCAATATTTTTAGGATCTGATGTGTCTATAAAGGTATTTATTTCTTTTAATTTTTGTACAATAATGACTATTTTTCATTATTATGTTATGTACTGTAGTTGTATACACACTTTGATGAGAAAATGAAAATTTTGTGGATGAGATTAATTGCAGTGCTGGATATTAATTTTTAGTAGCTTTGTGGTATGTTGTTTATTTTAAAGATTATATTGGAAGAAAATTTGAAAACAATTCAAAACTTCAATCTTAGGGTTTACCTGTTGCAAGCCAAAGTGACGTGACATGTTCAGTCAGCTGGTTTTATCGGATTGGATTGTGAAATTATGTCCTTTCAAAAGTATGGGCAGTTTATGATTAGAGGTTTCTTTGCTAGAAATAGCAAACAAAACTTTGAAAGCTATATTTGTCAAGTGGAGGATCATAGCAAGAGAAGGGAGAATGACTTGGTGTGTAGTGAGAAAGCACTTATTGTGTTCTTAATTTCTCTTTTTGTCTCCTTAATATTAGTAGGGTTTCTTTTGCATATATTATACTTAATTCTCTATTAATACAGCCATTAAGAACTCATTAAATTAACTAGCCTTCTATGACCAAACCTAATCATCTATTAAATGTAAGTATTTCTAAAATTTTAATTTAGTAAATGATTATACTATAAAAATATGAATTTTACAATCCAATCTACCCATTTCAAAATGAGAGTTAAAATTAGTAAATTATGGCCAATAACATACAATATGATATGATCATTAGATGTATCAATTTATTGAATTAATCTGATTCATTCACCTCATTATGATTTAAAATTCATTCAATTTTCATTATATGATTATTACTATACAATTTGATTAATCATGACTTCAAATTTTTTTGCTTATATGACTCAACTATTTGATGAAATTAGTTTTTATTTTATTTTATTTTAAATATAAGTATATCTTAGTCATTTTAACTTCATCAATATTTTTAATATAATAATTTATGACTCAAAACAAATAGTAAATAAACTAATTTTCATTGAAGTTTAAATATTGGAATAGTAAATTTGATGCCTTTGAGCTTATTTAATCATTAGCTCCAATTTTAGTCTTAATAATTTTTAGTGTGCTTTATTTTTAATTCTATAGAGCTATTGTTCAAGAAATCTAATTTACACCAGCACAAATCTTAAATAAATTCATTAGCCTCAACAAAATTATATTTTAAGATCATTAAAATTATAGTTGATATTTAAACTTATACAATTAACATGTTCGTCAGTGTCATTATAACATGTGATAATAATTTAATCAACATAACAAAAAAGAATAAGGCTTCATTTGGGGCAGGTTTCTTATTATTTTATGAATCAATTTATTTTTGCACAAATTTTTTGAATTATAAATTTCTGTACTAAGAAGTTGCTTCATGAAGCAGTAATATATATATATCAACTAGAGTTGGAAAAGCAAAAGACAACTAGTAACTATCTCTTGCAAGCTTAGGTTTCATTTGGGATGACTTTCTTACTAATTTTTAAAGCAGAGTTTTAGTAAAAAAAATTTCTTAAATTAAAATTTTTTATACTAATAAGTTATTTTAGAAAGCAGCTGGAAAACCATCCCAAACGAAGCCTTAATTTACAAGTCATTTTTAAATCCATAAAATCTTGGATATGATTTGAACCAAATTGATTTAAATTTTCAATTTGGGTGGTTGTGGATCTCATATTCTATTAAGACATAATTATTCATACATGATATCACATATTGCTCTACCAAAAAAAGAAGAAATCAATGATTCCAAAGTATTACTCATTCTTAAATTTTGATTATCTCAAATTTTTTGCATTAATTCTCAAAATAAAGTAACATTGATTATTTACATATTACACTTATTAAGATTAAAAAATTAAATGTATCTTAAATAAAATTTAGGAGATTTACATACATGCCACGTTATATCATGGTATTTACATATTGAATACCCAAAAATTTAAATGAGAATTTGATTGAAAACAGAACACAAAGGAGAAGAAAGATTCTTGTAGGGATAAAGACTTTGTTGTATTGAACAACAATATCATGTATTCAATTTAGTGCCCGTCATCACCAAATCATCATTAATTTGGACATACTAACCATTTTATCTTTTCTTTGAATGAAAATTAGTGGAGAGAAGCTTCTGCTGAAAATATTTTGGTGTTTTTAAGATCAATAACATTTTGATCCTGTATTAACTTAATGTGATTGATCCTAAAAAGTCCAAAATGCTTGGATTAAAAACTTCAGTCTACTAATTTTCAGCCAAAGAAATAATAATATTGATAGTAAGATCAAATTGATACTTAAGCTTCATTTGGGAAGCTCTATATTCTGTGCAGACATCAAACGCTGTTTGAAAATCAATCAGAATGCGACACGTCGCCCTATGCTCAATACCGTGGATCGGTACTACAGGTCGGTACCGCTGATGTGGCGCATTCTAGTTGATTTCCGGACAACATTCTGCGTCTGATCTAGCCTAGAATAATTTCTCCATTTGGGAAAGCTTTCTTACTGCTTTCTAAAATAATTTTTTAGTAAAAAAACTTTTATACTAAAAATCTATTTTAAAAAACAATAAGAAAACTATCTCAAATGAAGCCTTAAACATTACCTGTAACCCAACAATTCTAGACCCCGAGCGACCCCTATGCTTTGTTAGCCAAAGATGGGTCAAGAAAAAAATGAATAAAAAGAAAGATTTATCACTCAAAGATTTGATAGCCCTAAATAAAACAAATATTCATTTATAACTGCTTTGAAGTGTTGATAATACTTCTAAAAAAAATTGTACTTATTACACAAAAATGATAAGATGATATAAAATTTAAGAACGAGACTATACATAACTATCCAAGAAAAGCTTATAGTTCTGAAAGCTACCGGAAAAAAAAAAAATCTCCGGATGGGAATACACGAAGTCTAATTTAGGGATTTGAGTAAATACTTTCTGATAGCCTGACAGCAAAAATAAAAATTTGCAACTTCGCATAAAGTTTCACAAATATTGGAGAAATTTTAACGGCTCTCAGTTTCATCTCCATTGCTCACATCCACTTGTGAGCCTAACCTGATGATATCTTCAACAAGAATTTTACCATCTGAAATGACCAATTCAATAAAAATCAAATTTTCGAAATTATGATGTTATTTGGGACAGCTTTTTTACTGCTACATAAAGTAGCTTTCTAGTATAATTTTTTTTAATTTTAATACTAAAAAGCTGCTTTCAGAATCAGTAAGAAAACTGTTCCAAACGAAGCCTATGTTTGAAGTTTTAAGGAGAGGAGGAGAAATTACAAGCAAAATCGTGAAAGGTAGTTATGAGATTTGAAATTATACCTGTGTCTTTTGAAAGATTGGTGATCAGCTCTTGCACACCTTCTTTGTTTAAGGTGTCCTTCAAATACATGGCAGCAGCTGCTACTTCTTCTGGCGTCACTTTGCCATCGCGATCCCTGAGTGCAGAAGCAAATATTACACTAGGAAGCAAATTCTTATAAAAACATTCATCTATATTAATTTCAAAATTTCAATTAAAATCAAAATTCTAAATTCTAAATTTAAATCCACTTTTGCAATCACATTTAAATTTGCAAGTCTTTAACCATAATCAGTTCTTTTCAATTTGTTGTTGTCACACAGCAGTCAATAAGTTCAGTTGATTGATTAGATCAGATTGAAGTATGAAGTGATTTACATGAGGCTCAGATTTCGTTTGGGACAATTTTTTTATTACTTTCTAGAGTCAACTTTTTGATACAAATATTTTCACATCAACAATTTTTTGAATTTAAAAGTTGCTTTAGAAATTAATAAGAAAGTTATTCCAAAATCGCCTATGATGTAAAGAAAAGTTAAGTTCAAGTTGGACAGTGGAATGCCTGACTATGACTTCGTTTGGGACGGCTTTTTTATTGCTTCATAAAAAAGCTTTTTAATTAAAAAATTGAAAACTTTGTATTAAAAAACTGCTTTAAGAAACAATAAGAAAGCCGTCCCAAACAAAGCCTATGCCTCAGTCACTGATTAACCAATAAGCTATTAACTGTATAATATAATTCAAAGGTGGAATGGTAAGAACCCAGGTCATCATTTAAGGGGGCCACCCTCTCAGACGCTTTAGACATGTCCTCACAAAAAGGGAACAGAGGATGAAGTACAAATTGCTAGAAAGATTAGAAGACCAATATATTTCAGCTTTCTTATGTTCCTCAAACAATAAGAAGGTAGTTGAGGTGCAGCCGCAGAGCAATTATTGTCACAATATAAAAAGATTAGTATATTCATGGTGTATAAGGTAAAAAAAACTTGCTATTCATTAATTTATCATCGTTAGGGCTAGAATCAACTTTTTTAATAAATTGTATGAATTTAAGAATTGCAAAAGGCTAATAGGATTATATTTAATGCAATTAATGCAACTGCTATTTATTTTCCTAAAAAAGAAAATCTACTATTTTTTTCTCCAACGTTGTTTCTCTCCAAGTAAAAAAGCAAATACCGAGTTTATCTTGCCGCTGTTTCTTCTCTGATGGCAATTTCTACTCCAAGTAAGAAGGTTTTATTTATCTTGCCGTTGAGCTCATCAATCCTTCTCCTGGGATCCCGTAGTTACTTCACTCATAGTGCTTTTCAAGAGATAATGGAGAAGCCAATTTTTTGACCGAGAAGCCAAGCTCGAGTTTGTTGTGACTTGGGCTCGACTCAACTGGTTCACACGCTTACCACAATCTCTCCAATGGATTTGGAGATGCCATTGAGATAAAGAAGATAAAAAAAGGCTTAGATATCTACAGATTCTTGTTGTGAGCCACAACTTGATAGCTTCATTGCGTCAAACCCAAGGAAAGGTTCGGATTAGGTGGAGACCCAAGCTAGCGGTTTCATCTTTGGTTCCCACTTCTTCTCCAGCATCGATAGGAAAGAAACTAGAAGAGGAATCTGAAATTAATAGCTACCAATAATCGCATGTCTTCAGAGAAGCTTAGCAAATTTGCTCTGAGTATGGAGGAGAGTTTAGATAGACTTAGAAGAGGGTGCCAATACAGAGACTGACAAAAAAAGTAGATGATGGCTCGAAGGTAGCCAATGTCTATATGGCAGATATTAGGCAAACATATCATAAATGAACAGATATTAAATGAATTCCCATGTGGTTATCATATAAACAAATAGTTTGATAGGTCTAAATAGACAAATAATTCAATAAATTTTGGTTTAGTATTTAACTAGTTGATAAAAATTAAACAAAACAATAGTCTGGCTAATTAAAAAAGACATTAAAGTCTTGAGGAGAAGAATGATTTCTAAAAAGTAATGATTGAAATGAAGACGTGAGAGTTGCAAATTCTGACGGGGTGATAATGTGTTGGGAAGATGTATCAAGAGGTAAAACAAACATATCAACTGTAAGTTGAGAAGGAAAAAATGTGCTCACTTCAAATTATTATGGAGCTCATGTTGGATACCTACGTAGGCGTGTTGGAGAAGATGTATCAAGGGCTAAGATAGAGTGCTCATATATCATGTTCACCAACACGTCAGCTGCAAGCGAAGAAGAAAAAGATTTGTTTCCCTCCAAAGGCTCGCATTCTCAATATGATCCCAACATCGTGCTCACATATACACAAATCACGCGACCTCAAGAGACAAAAGTGTGGGGATTGAAGGCAAAAGTATAAAATAATATGTGAAAACTAAGCATAAAAGGGATAGAAAGTAACCTAATTAATGATGAAGGAGAAAAAGCAACTCTCTATAATGATGATTCATGTATCCACCAAGTGAGATGAGTGAATGAGAATTTTGAATTCATAAATTATAATCTAAATGATTTAGACTACTTGCTTATATTGAATTGGGAGTGAGAGGGACTTGTGAGGATCTTAGTTTGATATTAGTATGTTATTTATTATTTCATATTTTTTATTAATACAACAATTTAAAAGCTTACGCCTCGCCACAGAAACAGATACGCCTCAATACCCATAGCGCAATTCCAAACCTTGGTTGGAACTAGCACTAAAATTGAATACTTGATAATGATACATTCTAACTGTGAAATGATGTGGATAAAAAAAAAAATGACTGAAGGGTTTGGCTTTCATGTTACTTGGTTTATCGTTTTTAAATGTGATAATTAATTATTCATATTGCTATTCACCATATTTTTCACAAAATAAAAAAATATATTATAGAGAAGGCTAAGGAGTTTGATCATGGACGGATGTAGGAAAATAAACTAGACCATGAAACTAAAATTAGAATATGAACCTGAAATATAGGTATCCTTACAGAAAAATTTAAAGAAATAATAATATTATGATTCATAGGAAAATAAATATTCTATGCAATTAGGAAACAAATAGTTGGAGAAAAGGTTAAGGAGATTGATAGTTTTGGATTTAAACTATGATATTTTGGTAAGAATCGTACTAGAAATGATGTAGGTGTAATTATAAATAAGAATTTAAAGGATAATGTCGTAAAAATTAATAAAATTGGAGATAATGTTATAGCTTTAAAGATTATTGTTGATGCTAAGATTATTAATATTATAAGTGCTTGTGCTTCTCAAAGAGGTTTGAATATGGGTTCAAAATTAAAATTTTAAAAAATGACTTAGAAGAATTAATAAAAAGGATACATCTTGAAGAAAAAAATATATAAGGGGAGATTTAAATGGACATGTTGCTAGAGAGGTAGATTTTAAAAGATTTCATGGTGGTTATGGGCATGGAGCAACTAATGAAGCTGATAAGACCATATTAGATATTTCTTTATCTTATGATTTTGTAATGGCTAATATCTTATTTAAGAAACAAGATGAACATCCCATTACTTATAAGAATGGATATGGTAAAACTTAAATTGATTATTTTCTTATAAGAAAAATAAATCGATTAAATTGCAAAAATTGTAAATTTATTTCAAGTGAAAGTTTATGTACCCAACATGACTTATTATTTTTGGACTTTAAGAAGAATGGACAGAAAATAAAATTATATTAAAACGTTGTTCTAGGATTACATGGGGACATTTAATAAATTTGAGAGTAAAATATTAGATCTTAAGATTTTGCATGTGCATGAGGAAGCAAATGTTATGTGGGAAAAAATAGCTAAAAATATTAAGAATGTTGCAAAAGATGTGCTTGGAGTATCAAAGGAAAAAACTATTAATAGTAAAAATAGTTGATGGTGGAATCAAAATGTGTAAGAAAAGATAAAAAATAAGAATATTTTTATAAAAATTAATTTATATGTAAAAATTCTAATAATTGGAAAAGATATAAAAAAACCCGTAAGGAGTCTAAGAAAATAATATATGATGCAAAGATTTTAATTTTTAATGATTTATATAATATATTATATACTAAGGAGGGTGAAAGATATATGTATAAGTTCAAAAAAAAAAGTATAAGTTCAAAAAAAAAGTATAAGTTCAAAAAAAAAGTATAAGTTCGTCAAACAAAGAGATAATAGTAAGGATTTAGTTCAAGTATAGTATATTAAGGATGAAGATAAAAAAGATATTTTTATTAGAAGAGAATATTCAACAAAGGTGGATGAGATATTTTTATAAACAATTCAAGGCGAAGATTATGAAAATGCGATTGACTTTAGTGACCTTAGTACCCTAAATGAAAATAAACATTTTAATTTTTATCAGCGTATTAGTAAAATCGAAAGTAGAGAGGCTTTAGAGAATGAAGTGTGAAAATGCTGTAGGATCTGATGATATTCCCATAGAGGTGTGAAAATGCTTAGGAGATGAAGGAATTTCTTAGCTTACTAAACTTTTTAATATTATTTTGAAGACTAAAAGATGCTAGATGAGTGGAGAATGAGTGTGTTGATTCGTATTTTTAAGAATAAAGGTAATGCATAAGATTGTATGAATTATAGAGGAATTAAGTTAATGTGTCATACTTCAAAACTATGGGAGAGAATTATGGAGCATAGGTTGTGGTGTGATATTAATGTTTCTCAAAATCAATTTGGATTCATGTCAGGTAAGTTTAATACATTTATTAAGAGGTTTGATAGAGAAGTAAATAGAGAATAAGAAGGATCTACATATGATATTTATTGATTTAGAGAAAGCATATGATAAAGTTCCAAAAGAAGTGCTATGGAGAGTTATAAAAAAAAGGGTTAATAATGCTTATATTCAAGTCATTAAGATATGTATGCAAGAGCACTTGTGTTTAGATATAAGGTGGTTTGACCAAGTATTTTCCTATTTTAGTTGAATTACATCAATGATAAGCCATAAGCCCATAGCATTTTGCTTTAGTCATGAATGTTCTCACTAGACATTTGCAAGAGGTTGTACCCTGGTATATGTTTTTTGCTGATAATATTCTTTTTGTTGATAAGACTAGATAGGGAGTTGAAGTAAACTTGAATTATAGAGGTCAACTTTCGAGTCTAAAGACTTTCAATTAAAATAGATGGGGATTATGATTTTGGGTGATTAAGTCATTAATAAGAGTACATGCTTTAGATATCTTGGGTCTATTGTTCAGAGTGATGGTGAAATAGATGGGGATATTATTAGTAGAATTCAAGTTGGATGGTTGAAGTGAAAGAATGCATCGGGCTTGTTGTGTGATAGAAAAGCCCCCCTCAAACTTAAGGGAAAATTCTATAAAATGGTGGTTAAACCTGTAATGTTTTATGGCGCAGAATGTTGGCCATTAAAAGAGAAGCATAATATTAAGTTAAGTGTTGCAGAGATGAGGGATGTTCAGGTGGATCATGGATGAGTGACTTTACTCTTAGAGATAGAATACGAAATGAGCATATACATGAAAAGGTTGGAGTAGCTCCAATGGAAGATAAAATTAGAGAGAGTCGGCTTAGATGGTTTGGTCAAATAAAACGGCAACCTTTCGATGACCCGTTTAGGAAAGTAGATGTATTAGATTTGACTTATGTTAAGAAAGATAGAGGTAGACTTAAAAATATTTAGTTAGAAAATATTATAAATGCCCTATCTTTATTGGATTTAAATGAAAATTTAACTTTTAACAAGTCACAATGGAGAAAAAGGATTCATGTGGCTAACCCCACATAGTAGGATAAAGGCTTGATGTTATTGTTGTTGTAATAAAACATATTGTAGAAGATTGTCATTTTATGAGAAATACAATTATGTCTAAATGAATCATCACTCCTATCTCTAATGAAGAACAATTAGCAAATATTTTTTACAAAAGCTCTAGGACCACTTCAATTCTCTAATATTTCAAACGCGAATTAAGGGCTTGCTAAAGATGAAGAATTTGGACGTGCGACTGACGATCAAAATAAGAAGAGAGGGCCGGTGAAGGCAGTGACATCAATAGTTTTGTTGTGATTAAAGTGCAAGTAGCGGTGCCCTGGATTCCGTTTAGACTATAAAGAGAGTAATACCAATAAGAATAGTTCTTGTGATTGAAGTGGTGATTGGAATGCACATGAAGGTGGCCTGGTAGAAATGGGTGGTAATGGGCCGGTGATGGGTTTTTCTCTTGTTTGGCTATGAATGTAAGTTTGGCAGAGGGTTAAGTATTTTAAGGATTTAGATGGACTTCGATTAAAAAAGATAAAATCAATAAAATAATCAACAACATCAAATAAAGCATTTGAAGGTTGAATAAATAAATAAAAAATAGAATATAGATTCATCAATATTTAATGTCTCATATGCCACATATCTAATGCACCGAGTTTCAATTGACATGCATATATATATATATATATATATATTTGTGTGAGAGAGAGACAAAAAGTATTACTCCTTATTGCTACCCTATATCTATCCCATATCATGGATGGCCATTTATATTATCAAATCTTGAGACAGGAAATCTAAGAGAACTAAGAAATTTTTAATAACCTGTCAAGTAGAATCCATCGATCTCCAATTTTGGCATCAACATCATCAATCTCCATTTCAAGTTTTTGAAGCATAGCATCGACCTGAAAGTTTTGCAAAACAGAAGTTAGGTGGGAGGGATTCAAGAAAGTAATAAAAAACTTTGAATTATAAACAGCTAAACAATGCTTATGGTGCTGCTAATAATTCTTAATTAAACATAGGGAACAGCTTGCAAGGGTGACATCATGGTAGAAATAAATGAAACTTGGCATGTGCATGTCAAAGAATAAATGTAGGTAGGAGAAAAACTATAAAATCACCAAAAGAAAATTGTGGGTAAAAAAGTGCAGGTTTCTTACCCTGTCAATAAGCGCTGATGAAACCTTGTCCCCTGCAGCAATTTCAGCTGCATGATCACTCATTTCCCTAGCAGCTTTGTAAGCTTTCTTAGCCTCTTCCTCACCCTCTGTCCCCTCTTTCTCAAGCATGGTATTGTATAATTCTATCTGCATTATCAAGTCCATATGAAAGAATGACTTCAAGTGAGAGCACATTTCAATTGTATTAGATAGTCTTAGAGGAAAGTTTTCGCTGAAAGCAGTTATGCCCAGTTTGTGTGGATTTTGTCATGAAAGTGTACATTTTAAACTTAGTAAAGCCATAAAGTAGATACAACATTTTCCCAATGGCAAATGCCATTATAATTATATGAAATGCTAGAATACCTCTTTATTAACTAGTTGAAGGAATTCCTGGCGCTCCCTACTAACCGACTGCAAGAGACATAAAATAGTAATTTGTTAACTCTAAATCAGTAACAATCAAGATATAACATTATTGAAGAGCTCAATTAGATCAAATGATAAGTAGGACACCATACAGAGGCAGAAGCTAGAACAGCCAATGCACGGCTGATATTGCACAGCTGCTCCCTTTTCTCCATTGTTTTCTCTTCTGCAAGCTGCTGTGCTTCACGCAAGGTAGGTCCTGTCATCTCCTTTAAAGCCAAATCTTCATCATGGATAACAGATTCCTCCTTCTTAGTTTTCTCCTCTTTCTCTTTAAGTTTCTCTTCCTCCTGGAAAATAAAAATAAAAATTCAATGATTTGTCAGGTTTCCAACCACATGTACATTATGATGGGAAACATACATTATCGAGGGAAACACAAACAAACTACAAAGAAACATGCATGCCAATCAATCTCTGAAAGAACGAAAGATTTTCCTAGCCATAAGACAACCTAGATCATTTTTTAAAATTTTTTAGATTCATGAGTTTTCATATTTATTCAATTCTAATAATGTCCGAACAGTTTAACTTGTTCAAGCACATTGCACCACAGGTTATTTAATGCCCGACAAACAATAAAATTGCATAGCAAATCAAATCGTAAACAGGAAAAAAGTAGTCAACCACGAACAAAATTTATGCAGTGATATATCATATAATATGCGTGAAACAATTTTGTGGTTTTATGATAACAAAAAAAAAAATCAAATAAAAGAAAATTTTGCGAGAAGAAGGATACAAAAAAGATAAAATAAGTGGCAGAGCCGTTTGAAGTTCCATATCTCGGACAAAGTTCATCCATATGAAGAAAACTGACTTGTAAATTACTGAAACAAAGTTGCAGTCCCAATAATACCATGCATAGGGTTCCTTGAGGTGGCTTACATTTAGTGAAATGCAACAAATGCCCTCAAAATAAGGAAAGCAGGTCTAGAAATTCAAAAATATCTTAATAGAAGCAGCCTGTTTGAAAATTTCACTAAGAATGAGAACAAATGCTTATATTAATCATAAGAATATATAACTTGCTCTCATTATATAACCAATAACTAAAAGAACCAAAAGTGCTTCAAAAACTTTAGGCATGTACCTTGATAAGTTCTTCTTGCATTTCAAGGAACTCCAACTTTCTCCTCCTCTCTGAAACAGAATCCTCGTATGGCAACACAGTGCCAACAGTGTCTACAACTTCATCGGGTAGAGATGAGAGTGTAGCCACAACAGCTTCCTCGGGTTTCAGCTTTCCAGATACAGTGAAAGCTCTAGCAAATGAGACCGTGTTAGAATTACAAAGTAATTTGTCAGAAACTAACAAGGCACTGAGGCAGCCTCATAGTATTTACATAAATGCTAAGTTGAATCAGGTTACCTAGAAAGTATAAGAAGAGACGAAGGTACTGAGTGATTAAGAGACAAATCCAACCAATCCCGCAGCTGAATTCAAACAAATAAAGAGGTAAGCATATTGCAATATTTACTTCTATAAATTGGTTAATATTATAATAGACTTCTGACAGCAGAAACTGAACTCTATTCTTTTGGAATTAAATAGCCGAAATTTTGATGATAAAAACATTTAAAGCAGCAAAGCAATTTTATAAGCATTATGAAGGTAGAAAAAATAATCAACTCAGTATTTAAAATAGACTACATTTTTAAATACAATCTAAAACTTTCTCTTTAACATCACATAATTTTTGTCACCGTAAACATATAGATTCTAAAATGTAAATTAGTCCAAAAAAATTCATCTTTGAAGTCAATTGAAGACATCAAAACCCTACTATAACATCAACTATCAGCCAATAATGAAAAGAGGCCATACCTGTTGGCGCATCTCCTCTTTGGAAAGCAACCCTAGATGGCCACGTTCACGACAAGCTTGACGAAGCTCGTCCTCTGAAAGGGACTCCACACCTTCTGCTTGAATCAATTTATCATCTTCCTTTATCCTGCATAAAAAAACAAGGGCAACCAATTGCTCCAAATTCTGTGCTAATTTTTATAACTTTAACACTCACATTTCTTAAAATCATAATTGTGTTAAAAAAAACATAATAAAAAACAAAGAACTTTACATGGCTATATCCACAACCAAAACGATAAATTTTTAGAAGCACGCAATGGACTTTAAAACTATAATCCCAGCATTAATTAATGGTTGGCACATATCAACCCTGCTGTACAGAATCGTAGTGAAACGTACAGCATAAAGGAAAAAATTTTGAATCGAGAGTTTAGACAAATAATTTCAGACAATGCAAAACTTCAATTTAGTATTAAAAAAAACTAGATTACTCAAAAATAAATGTACTTAAAAAACATGGCAAGCAATGTTCTGTTATTTATTTGAACCAAGGTGTTGATCAGAGGATGATGGTCCACTTGGCCCAAGTTGGACTTCATCGAAGCCAACTTGCAAATCCTTGAAATCAAGACAATACATGGCATGATAGCATGATCTGGGCACCAAAAAGTATGCATGCTCCAGTTCACATACTTGTGTTTACACCTTTTTCCATGCCAAATGCGCATACATCATTCAGTCGTTTCATGAGAAGGGTTATATTAATAGACTATATACAATTAACAAGCAATTTATGCTCCAAGGCACCAAACCGGTTAAACCAGTTGTTTTTTTAAGAAATACCCGGATGGTAGCATGCTCTCACCAAAATAGCACATTAACTGTTTGGCTTATGAAAGCCAGAGAGAGAGAGAGGAGTGCAGGGGGAAAGAATGACACTAGAGGAAGACTAGAGGAGAGCAGGAGGGAGGGAGGAGGGGGTAGGAATAATCCACCGATATAAGGAATAAGAATAAAGCTAGAGTGAACGAGAAAGATATCTAAAGAGAGTTTCAGAGGGGAAAGAGAGAACAATAATTATAACGTACTGTGTCACAATTGCATTCAACCAATACCAAGCAATGCCCAAGGAAGTCCAAGCAATGTCAAAATTTACCACATGAAAAATTATGAGACATCTAAAGGTTTGCTCAAAATGATGCGTTGTTCTGACCATGAGTCCTAAGAATTCCATAACCCAACAAGGATATAACAAGACACAGATACATACACACTCTTCAAACCCCACATCTAGCATCGACTAACCCAACACATTAACTCTAAAAAAGTGTTTTTTAACTTCCACAGTTTTGCAGCCATGAACATATATAATAAGTTATAAGACATCCAAATGAGACCACAGCACAGGAAAACAATGTTATTTTCCCCTTTTGTACGCCATCTTCTCATTTTCATCACATATCCAATCTTTTTCATATAGGGATTAAGTCTAGCGGAAGGAGAAGAATAGAAAGTAGAGAAATTCAACAGAAGTGAAGAATAAACCAAACAAAATGAAGAATTAAAAAAAATCCCTTTGGATCCCCATCCCCTGCCCTCCTCAGACAAAAACGAAAACAAAATGAAAGAAGTCATTGGGTGTTTTTGGCATCAGTTTCTATGCAGAGGCATGCAATAGATGGAGCCATTATGTTCAACATTGGAGCAGCTTACAGCCAAATCGCACTATCGGCAGATCAAACCTCACAAGTGGAGCTCAAGCAGGCGTGCAAATGCTTCCAGAGCATGGATGGGTCGTTTTTAATGCTCCATGAGGCCGTCGCACCCAAGCTAGCTACGCTCAGCAGTGCCACTATTGATCTATCGATCGACTGGTTGAGTGTGCGGGAACGCTTGAGCGGCTCATGCTCGTGCAGGCACAGGAGTGCTTTTTTGAGAGGTTATTGCAAATGCCATGCCCCACAGCATCTGCTCCAAGGTTGCACAGCAGGTTTTCCCCTTTCAACTAGTTTGAACTGTTACTTAAATTTCTTTGCCCGCTTATCATTCCTTATTTTGTTTTAGCGAGCTCATATCTCAGGTTGAAAGCAGCTCAGTTCTATGCAGAGGCATGCTATAGATGTTCTATAGAATTCCATGGGAAAGAAGAGATTGCAGAGGAAATAGCAAGGCTTAAGACTGGGATTAACGCTCTAACAGATGCCAAGAAATCTGTCAAAGGCATTGCTGCACCTCTTCTTGATGCAGTTTTCAGATTGGAGGGCCATTTGAACCAAAACTTGGAACGGGAAATTAAGGAGAATAATAGGGTGTATCTCATACGTGTTCCACCAGCCAACTTCTCTACATGCTGCTTCTCTTGTCGAACCTGTGCCTATGACTTAAGTTTTAGATGCTAGCAAGGAAAGGTTGTTTTCAAACCTCGTCCCTGATGATAGTACGAAGTCCTCGTCAAGGTATACATAAATGGTTAATGATATTATTCAAACGCAAGCTGGCGCATATTGGGTTGCTTTAGCATTTCCGGGTCAACTTGAACTCAACCCGGTTTTACAAATGGATTGGAATCTTAAACCCGAACCCGACCAGTATTGCAAACAGGTTGACCCAAATCATAATTTTTTTGGGTCGGGTCAGGGTCAAGTTTCGGGTCGGGTCAAATATTGACACCCCTACTAGCATGTCTGATCATGAATCTCCAAAACATTTATATGGAAGAGGATAGCAAAGATTCTGAATCTACAGAACCAGTGAACTGGATACCAATATATCACAAGTAGAATAGCAACGAGCATGTCATGGTTAATGTATCCAAGACCAACCAATATTGGTGGATAATTTAAGAAGTTCTTCAAGCTAGTCGTGAATAACAGTTTTGTATTGCTGAACTCGTTAAAATTTACAATGTTTTTAATAATTATGAACGCTTGTTTATGCAGATATTGCAACAAAGGAAAAAAGCATATGGATAACTTCAATGATTACCTAAAAGCAAGCTCAAAACAACAACAACAAAGCACCTGATAATAGAAAGAGGCATGAAACATTGATTATTGTAGTATATATCACCAAGTAAATGAATTATCCATTTCCATAGTCCAAAAGTATTTTTATTTTGTCTTTTATGAAGATGAAAATTTTCCTATTTAACAAAACCAAATTTGGAGACCAAATTTTCAAGGAAACTCCAATATATAAACTTCATAATCTAATATTTTCAAGGTAAATTTCTCTCATACTAATAAGAACATAAACCAAACTTAAAAGATGAATAGTTTTAGAAAGAAGCTCAGCATAGAAAAAGTTTTCTGCAGTATAATGGACCAATTAAAAATTTAAAAGCCTTCATCATTTCGAGTATAATCGATACATGCTTGAAATTCACCAAGTACCTAAAAATCCAAAAATGTACTTGATTTTTAAAATTACCAAGGTTTTGAAAAGCAGTAGTTCATAGGATTCAACACAGATCATAAAGAAAGGAAAATTCAAATAAAGGAAAAATGCCAAAGTGCAAAAGCACATCACCAACAATACAAAATATCACACTTCAAAAAATACAATCAACCTATGATACATAACATCAGAAGGTGACCATTTGAATGCATCATTTCAGAAAATACAAATAAAAGGAAGGGGGAAAGGTGGTAGGGGAAGGCAAAGAGTATTATTCTTACTGTTGCAGCTTCTTCCGAAGCATAAATCGTAAATATTTGTCCGTCCCAATATGTGTGATTCCCATGTATTTACACATATTGACCAACCTTGGCCTGAATGCAATAATGAACAAATACATTCAATAACATATAGTTAACTTGGAAGCAATGAATCACGAAAAACCAACACAAATTCAACCTGCTTATATTATCCAGAGTTAGCTCGTCATTGAAAAGTTTTGCAAAGTTCAAAATTTCCTCATTGGAAACACGAGCACCAGTCCTGACCTAATTTAATATAAGATGTCAGAAAATATTATTCCTTCATATTTCAAGAAGCAAGATTTAAGCCCATAAAGAACAATACTATGATTGATGACGTACCTTGTTCAAAAATTCATCAAGATCTTCCGCAGTCTGTTTTACTTCTCCACTACGTGTTCTTTGCACCTCATTTGCCATCTCTTTAACCGTGTCTTGCAAGAATTTGGCATACTCAATTCTGGCATTAAGCGTCCTTTTAAGTGCTTCCTGCAATTGAATGTAAGAATATAGAAATAATAAACGCCTGCAAATGGTTTTCACATTTCACATTATACATAGGCCAACAAGTTTTTTTGGTAAAAACAACTTAAACCAGATAAAAACAACTACACAAAGACTAAATAATTAGAAAGATCTAAAAAAATTGTAATGTGCATCCAAAAGTATACCTGTTCCTTCATCTTATCCTGAAAAGTGGATGGTAGCATGTTCGGAAATAACTTCAAGAACACTGGCAATAGAAATTCCATAAATGGAACTATTATAAAAACTGCAAAAGGCACCAGCCTGAAGATATCAGCAGTAGTGCGAGTCAATTGCTTCCTCTCTCTTCTAGAAAGGCTCTTTCCACCAGCAAGTTTCAACAGTAATCTTGAAGAAATCCTTATGTCCGCCCACAGTAGCTTGCAGCCAAGCCAATAGTGTTGCAATGTAGAAACAAATTCATCCTTCCAATGCCGAAACTTTATGGCCCAATCCTCCCTAGCGTAATGAAATTTGTCAAAGTCAGAGGCAAAACTTTAAGTTCTACATTTTTCCTACAATTAACAAATGGAAAACCAAAGAGTTGGCACCTGCTCATGGAAGCAACCGCTCTTAAAGCAGGACCTATCCCTAATAGTTTAGCCCATAACTTGCGAATAAATTGATAATTTTTCTGGGTTTCTTGCAGCTGCTTAGCTTTTGCTTTAGCTTTTGCAGTGCTCAGGCCTTCAACAGCCTGATCACACTCCTCTGGTGATGCCTCTTTATTCTGTTTTTTCTTCTGATCTTCATCATGCTCTTCACTGCCAATTTCAGGCTGCTTGGCAGTAGCAGTTGATGCTGTGCGGACATACTGTGACAACCCTCGTACCCCAAAGGGTAAAAAGATTTCTGATCTTCCCAGTTCGCTATTCAAGCCAGAAATACCAGATGGATGGCCTCTTAGAAATCTTGCAGATGAACAGCAAAAGAATTCTTCTCTGGCAGGGAAAAATATCCTCTGCCCTTCTCTGTGATCAACATCTATAACCTTCTGGCTAGACACATGATCAAGAAGCCTAGTCTTTGCATTATGAGCAGTTGAACCATGCTCGTAACTTGAAATACTAGAACTAGAACGAACAGCTACATTCAGTTGCTGCAGGAGGTGCTTCCTTCCTCTGGAAATTGCTGTCAATGCCATTAATGCTTTCTATTTGCTTCCTAAGATGGACAACTACAGTCATATCTTTCCGGGGTAAATCCCTAAACCAATCAAGTTATCTTATTCAGGACAAAAAAATGAAATGAAAAAAAAAGGACAAAGAAATGAAACAATATGAAGTTGATTACATCTGCTAATTGATTTAAAAATATATATTTTTAATCTAAATCTTGTACCTTATTTTACCCCTTAATACCAATGCATCTCATTGCTACTATTAACATTTTCCTCCATGATTCTCGTTTCCCCAGCACAAAAACCTCAACATTACCATTTCTAGAGGAATCATAAACAAGGACACTGTTGAAGACTGAAAATATTATGGGGTAGCTTGGTGGAAGTATTTACGTAGGACTTAGTGTAAATCTTGTCAAATGGTTAAAATATAATTTTAAATACAACATAATCTTAAACATTATTTCTCCTATGTTTTGCCTCAAATCCGTGATTTAGCAAATTCTAGCATTGGACGGATTTAACAAATCTGCAAGTTTCATGAACTACTCTAATTCTTTACACGTCGTTGCTCTTATCGATGCCTTCTCAAGCAAGCTCCCATTAAGACTTCCTCGCTTCTATGTCTTCAAGGGTTTTGGGGACAAGATTTGGAGAGAAAGACAAGTGTTTTGTATTTAATTAGATAAAATAATTACATAAGATATTTGAATTAAAAATTAATTTAATCTAAATAATGAATACAAATTAATTAAAATAAATTAATATTATTTAAGATTTATTTGATTAAATAGAATTTATTATGTTTATTAAATTTTATAAACTATTAATTAATGATTAATTAGAATATTAATATCAATTAGAATTGATAAAAAGCTATGTTGCACGGATACTCCTATTTACGAGGCGTGCTGTATCAGACACGTGTCAGATACGAATACTCCTCCGATACGGCACAGATACGTGACGGATACGACTTTGCCGTGTCCAATTAAAATATTATTTAAATTTGACTGGACATGCGTATCGGATACGCGTGTCCTATTAAAAAAAATGAAAAAAGAGGAGCCGCAACCCTATTCATTTCGGCTTTCCGCTCGATATCTATATTCATTTTTGCAGCTGAAATATTTTGACGAGCTAGCTTTTTTGTTTCCACACAGATGTTTGTCTTCTTCGTGGAGCGGTTCGATGACGCGAGCATAGAAGCGAACAGGATCATCCGTTGTCGACAAAGAGGCTTGACGACCCAAGCATTAAAGTCGACAGGATCATCCTTCGTCGACGGAGCGACTCGACCACGCAAACAGTGAAGGCGACGTGAGCAGTGAAGGTTTGTTTTCTTCGTTCTTCGTTCTCTTAATCATAGGTTTGATATCGAAACTCGATATTCTGTACCGCTCTGTACCATTCATTACCGCTTGTTACCGAGCGGTACTGGAACTCAGTACTGCTCGGTATCGAGTGGTACTGGAACTCAGTACCGCTTGATATCGGAACTCGGTACCGCTCGATACTGTAACTTGGTATTGCTCGGTACCGCTTGGTATAGCTCGATACCGCTTGGTATTGCTCGATACCGCTTGGTATTACTCGGTATAGAGGGGTACCGAATGGTACCAAGCAGCACCGATATGCTAAAACATGCTCGGTACCGCTCGATGTCTTTCCATAAAAATAACTTACGAACTTTAAAAATAAGCAGCACTTCATAATTGCTCGGTACCGCTCGGTCGAATCCTGTTAGGGGGTAGCGCCCCCTTGGACCCCCGGCAGAGTCACAATATATCTACACTTCCACTTAAATTTTTTCATGTTACAAATTCATATGGTTTAATTTGTATCGATCATTTGTAGGATAATGAGCTCTAGTTGAGTAGGAATTGGTTCTGATAATGGTCCATCAGAAACCAATATTAAAGATAATAAATCTCTATGGGGTTATGTTACAAAAATAGGTAAAACATCAGAAGGGGGAGGCAATATTGCATTTAAATGCAATTTTTGTAATGCGACATACAAAGGATTATATTATACATACAAAGGATTATATTATAGAGTGAAAGCTCATTTGTTGAAGATTTGTGGTCAAGGAATCAAAGTTTGCTCGAAAATAAGCTCATAAAAAATGGCTAAATTATAAAGAAAAATCAGTGAAGCTGAGCAAAGGAGTAAAAAAGAACTTCCAAAATATATTCCACTTCCAAGCACTCATGCTTCATATCCTTCATCATCTTTTTCAATTAAATATGATGACCATACTGTAAATAAAGGGCCTTTTTCGAATGGAGGGATTTGAACCAAAAAGAAGAAAATATGTTGTAGATAGTTCTTTGGAGAAAGCATTTAATTTACAAATGAAAGAACAACTAGATGGAGAAATAGCTAGAATGTTTTACTCAGTTGGACTTCCTTTTAACCTAGCAAGGAATCCACATTACAAGAATGCCTTTACATAGGCATGCAATAACAATCTTGCAGGATACGTGCCACCAGGATATAATGTTATTATAACGAAGTTGTTGCAAAGAAAGAGGGATAATATTGAGAAGTTGCTCGAGCCTACTAGAGAAGTTTGGAAGGAAAAAGGAGTTACTTTGGTTTGTGATGGGTGGACAGATCCACAAAGAAGACCACTTATCAACTTCATGGCTATAACGGAGAGCTATCCTATATTTATCAAAGATGTAAAATGTGAAGGACATTACAAGAATAAGTTCTTCATTTCTAATTTAATCAAAAAAGTTATCATGATGGTGGGGCCTTCAAACATCATTCAAGTCATTACTGATAATGCACCTATTTGTAGAGTTACAGATCTACTTGTAGAGCAAGCATATCCTCATATTTTTTGGACACTATGTATTGTGCATACGCTTAATCTTGCCTTGAAGAACATTTGTGCAGCTAAGAATACCGAGGCAAATGAAATCACCTATGATGAATGTCATTGGATCACAGTGATTGCTAGAGATGCAATTGTAATTAGAAATTTTATTATAAATCACTCCATGAGACTCTCTATGTTTAACGATTTTTCTAATTTGAAGATGCTTGCAGTTGCTGAAACTCGGTTTGCCTCAGTTATAGTGATGTTGAGAAGATGCAAAAAAAATAAAAAATGCTCTTCAAGCTATGGTGATCAGTGACAAATGATTATGTTATAGGGAAGATGTTGTTGGAAAGGCTATGTATGTAAAAGAGAAGTTTTTAGATGATTTATGATGAGATAAGATTGAATACATCATAAATTTCACAGACCTAATTTATAAGATGTTGAGAGTAACTGATACGGATAAGTCTTGTTTATATCTCATTTATGAGATGTGGGATTCAATGCTGGCCAAAGTAGAAGAAATTATATATAGACATGAGATGAAGGCATTTCATGAAAACTCAAGCTTCTGAGATGTTATTTATGTTATTCTAGAAGATATGTGGAGCAAAAGTAATACACCTTTACATTGCTTGGCTCACTCACTAAATCCCAGGTAAATTTCAACATTTTTTTCATTATGAATTCACAATTTGTTGTTTAGTAATTTCAACAGTTTTTTATTATTTCATTCTAATGTTATTTGAAGATATTCAATTAAAGAATGACTACAAAAGAATCCTCAAAGAGTTTCTCTACAAAAAAATTTAGAAATTTCAAATATGTTAAATACATGTTTGAAGCGTTATTTTCCAAATGAGAAGAAAAGAAGTGTCAATATTGAGCTTGCTAATTTTTTTTGTTATTTAGATGACTTTCAACTTTGGTGACCAAGAGTCATTGCGTGATAGGTGGAGAATTGAACCGAAAATGTGATGGATTATACATGGAGCTTCAACTCTACTTCAAACAATCGCCATAAAATTGCTTGATCAAGTTTCATCCTCATATTATTGTGAAAGAAATTGGAGCACATACTCATTCATCAAATCAATGAAGAGAAATAAAATTACTCTATAACGGGCTGAAGATTTAGTTTATGTGCATACAAACCTTCGACTTCTCTCAAGAAAAACTCCAACTTATATGGAAGGAGACAACGGGATGTGGGATGTTGCTGGAGATGGATTTGAATCACTTGAGGATATGGGAATATTAGACATTGCTAATCTTTCACTTGATGAGCCTGAATTGGAAGCTATGATATTTATTGAAGATGATATAGAAATTCAAAGACAAACCACTGAAGAAGCTAATCCTTTCATTCCTTCTATTGAATAGTTGAAACAGTTTCAATGAAACTTCATGTGTTGGACAATTTTTTGTTGTTGTACTAGACATTTAAATATTTAATGCTTACTTTTATTTTGATATTATAAGATACAATGCTATAAATAATATTATTTTTAATTTTTTTTGTCATTTCAAATATTACACTTTGATTATTTTCTTAATTTTTATGTTGATTTATATATTATAATGTCGTATTCGCGTCGTATCTGTATCCTGTATTTTTAAGAATTGACGTGTCCCGTATCCGTATAGTGTCGTATCCGTGTCTCCATATCCGTATCGGTGCAACATAGATAAAAAGTTTTATTAATTAAAATTATTAACATCCAATCAAACAAATTAGATATATAAGTATTAATTAAGCATTTCATTTAATCATAATAATTAATATTAGTTACTTAAAAATTTATAATCTTAGGCAAATTGATAATACGTTTTTTACTTGTGTAAATATAATATATAATTTAAATAGCTTAGTAAATCTCAAAGTAATCATTAGTTGACATGTTTAATTGCATAAAATATGATTTAATTAGTTTAATTAAAGTTAATATAAGAAGAGTAAATACAATAAGATGTCTCAATCATATAAAATTTTAAATCCTGAAATAAGTAGCCCAAAAACTTATTTAGATTAAACACCCATCATACTAAACAGTTTCTAGGATTTAACTCACATCAGATTTAATAAATATAGATACTAATTGCAGTAAACAGCCCCATGAATATCCTATTTTAGGCAGGAGTTAACCATAATTTTAGCTCAAATTCTGATAAACAGAATTTTTGGTGCTTCTAAATCCTATTATTTTGACATATTCCTTTTCAATCCATATGATGAAATGCATGATTTACTAATATTTGCACCATTTAGGATCATCAGAACATCAGACTACTTGCACCAACTAATTGGTTGATAGTGCCTCTGAGTTTACACTGGAGGCCCAAGGTTTGAATTCTTGTTTTACAAACAGAATATTAGATTATTTGGCATAATATAACCAAAAGCTGGAGGTCAACCAGACTTCAGATAATCATTTCTTCTTTGAAATCTTTCTATTTCCTAAGCATGTTAATAAAGATACCCCAAGCCTCAAGCATGAAGAAAAAGTTAAAAGTCAACCAGAAGAGAAATTGAAACCGAACCAGTCGAAAGCCGTTTCCTTGATCCCGCTGAGCTCAACTAAGGATTCGATTCGACAATCAATCCTCGAGACAAGTCTGATGCAGTCCAGAAAATCGAGCTGGAAACATTCAAGGTAGTTGAGCCCGTCAGTACTTCATTAACGGATCGGAAAACAACAGCAGACATAAGAGGAAAAAGTTATCGAGCAGGATTTAACCTAAATCCTGCCAAACATCACAAATGATATCCTTAAATTCCATTTCTCCTCCGTTTTACCTTAAATCCAGGATTTAGTAAATCCGAGCATTTGAGGGATTTAGCTTCAATCCGTCAGTATCACAATCTCCGCGTCTCCTTCACGCGCCGCTAGTCCCTTCGTCGCCTTCTGAAGCGAGCTCCCGGTGCGCCTTCCTGATTCTTTCTGGTCAAGCTTTAAGTGATCGGGTTCGGCGGGCGGGGGAATATGTGGTAGAAAGGCCGGGGTTTCGGTCGCCGTGTAAATTTTTTTTTTAATTATCAAAATTAAAATATTAAATATATATATTGTAATTAATATTAATTAGCGAAAAAAATGATTAAAATTTTATTTCTGATTTAATTTAATTAAATAGAAATTATTACATTAATTTGTTTAATAAGTTAATAATTGTACTAATTATAATTTAATTAAAATTTATAATTGATAAAAAGTTTTATGAATAAAAAACATAAATAATGCCTATATATATTAATAAATTAAATCAATCTTCGTTATTCATATTAATTAATTACAAATACCTTAATTTAAATAAATTGATATCGTTTTTTATTTTCTTTGTCTAATTGATTTAGTATTTGATCCAAGTAAATAAATATGTGCATGATGCCCACTTATTATAAATAATTGGCTAAGAATATCTTTTTTTTTTTTGTAAAAATGAATTTTAAAATGATTTGATTTATTTTAAAATAAACGCTATATAATTTTTGATTTATTTTTTATACAAATTCAACGCTTTAAAGAGATGCTCTTAAAAAATGTTCATATTTTTTTATTTATTTAAATTTTCTTGCAATTTTAACTTATGTTTAGGGTCTATTAAATGGATTGATATTTGAAGAGAAGGGATGAGTTGAGATTGATATTGATAGTTATCAATCTGACGTGGGACTTTGACTTTTAATTTGGAGTTATCAATCTGACCTAAACCCTAATTTGAACAAATCACTACATGTCAAGATGGAGGAGCCTCATTTGTTGGGAACAAGTTTAAAATTTGGAAGAGAAAAGATAAGCTATTAGGTCCTATTGGAGAGCATAAAAATTCTCATAATAAGGCAAGCAGAATGTGAGGACTTAATAATTCCTCAAGTATAGAGTGTTCCTTCTTTGTGTCTAAGTAAAATCATAGGAATAAAAAAAATTATATTACGTTAATTTTTTATGTTAATTGTATTAGATTCCTTTTGCATCAAAGATTATAATTCCATGATTAGGATGAGTCATCAGAATCTAATGGTAAAGGAAAATACTATAAGTTATTTCATTTTGTTGCTAATCATAATAGAAAAATTAAGAAAGTTAAATTTAAAAATGCTAGTTCTAAGGTCAAATTAATTTCACCCAAATTTCAAAAAGATATATATTCTATTATAGTTACTAAGACATTGATTTTCATCATGAATGATATAAGTGATTCTTATTTCACTTTGAAGGATGAGACACATTATGTGTCAACAAAGGAACAACTAATAGTCACTGTGAGATATGTAGATAAGAAAGGGCAAGTTATTGAAAGATTCATTGGTATCAAATATCTTTCATAAACAAGTATAGTTACACATAAAGCAGCCCTTAAAGCAATACTTGCCAAACATTCATTGAGCTAACGTAAGATATGTGATAAGGCTGTGAAGGGGCAAACGGTATGTGAGGGAGTTTTATGGTTCAAAGCCACTTATTCGTAATGATAATTCTCAAGTATTTTATGTCCACTACTTTGCCTATCAACTCTAATTATGTTTGGTAGCTATTGCAAAGTATCATTGACAAGTGAAGCGTCTATTTGAATTAACTTCAAGAGTTGTTAATACTATTAGAGCTTCTTATAAGTGGTTATATGCTCTTAGATCCATTCACTATGATAAAAAACTTTTGCATCTTAAAACTAGTGAGCTAATTAGTGTCCAAGGTTTGAATTAAGAGACCAATTAATAAGAAGTTGGTGATATTGTTGGGGTTAACAATTTCTTACTTTAATTAGTCTTATGAAAATGTATGCTTACGTACTTGAGGTGGTTGAGTTTGTCAAGAAGGATAGGATGAATGTTGAAGCTAATATTTTCATTGATGTAATTGAATTATTTAAATTTATTTTCACTATATATTTAATGATATTTTGGGGATTGCAAATGAGTTATCACAATCCTTATAAAAAACGATTAAGGCATTGAGAATGCAATAAAATTGGTGCAAGTATCAAAATAATGATTACAGATATTGAGAGAACATGAATGGAGTAGTTTACCAGATGAAGTGTCATAATTTTGTAATACTTTGGAAATTAATTTTTCAAATGTGAATGATATATACAAGGCTTATCAATGATCAATGCAAAGAGAGGAAGAAATAACAAACTTGTATCACATCACGTTGAGTTATTTTATATTATTGTTGATATATATTTAAGAGTCAAATAATTATTTTTCTAATAAGTTACTTCTTTGTGTTGCATGCTTACCCAAGTGATTCATTCTCTGCTTATGATAAAAGGAAACTAATTCTTCTAGCACAATTATATACAAGTAATTCTTTTACAATTGAACTTCTGTCCCTTAAACATTAACTTCCTACTTAATTAGATTGTGTACTAGTGATGAGTTCTCATCCCTAAGCACCATTGTTGATATTGTAAAATAAATTATTAAGATAAGAATGAATGGTGTATATATACTAGTTTATAGGCTTATTATCTTAGCATTAACTTTACCAGTCAATACTATCATTATAAAAGAGCATTTTTTTTATAAAAAACAATATCAAATATTAATTGCTCGATAAGATAGGTAAATATTATTGGCTCAATGATTTTCTAGTGCCTTATTGAAAAGGGAGCATTGGATTTGATTCATAATGAATTTATAAAGCAACATTTTCAAGTAATATAAAATAGATTGATAAGCTTGTAAGCACTGCTCATTTTATCAATCTTAATGAAATATAAATTTTTTCCATATATTATGCATTTTCATTTTATTTCTGAAATTATTAATTTATTTCTATGATAAGTTGTCTCACTCTTAAGAAAAAAGTTAGTTTCACCCCTATATGTACCACTAACCTTGTCTACGCCTATAATAAGGCGTTATTGGTGGAATGCATGCAAAACTCCACATGTTTTTCATGGTCATCTCATTTAGATGGATAAATTGAAAAAAAAAAGGAAAAAAATTAAATATATATTTTTTCTTAAAAGAATATTGATTGATCCACCCAAGTAAGTGGAGACAAATCTTATTTTTTATGTAAATTTATTTAAAGGAAAACTTTGATCTTCTAGTCTATTTGGCTACAAATATTTAAAATTCAAAATGCGTATTTTTGCATCGTTGGATTTTCTGTTGTCTACCATTATACAATATTGTGACCTTTTGATATATGCTCAATTACTCTTTAATTGTTGTAATGTGATGATATATGTGCATATGTGATTAAATTATATCTGTTTTGAGTCATAAGGGGTTAGAATTTTTTAGAATTCTGTGTGTTAGGAAATTTATGGGAGTTATAAGAGACCAAAATTCTTTGAGATTCTGTTTGACACTAGATATCCGATATTTTTGGTGCTGTAAACACAAACAAAAAAAGAGTCATATGGGGGCATAATCCTTTAAGCTTCTGTCTTGGTCCAAAAATGTGATATGAATTCCAATTTATTTATTTGTTATGTACTGTTATTTTAGTCATAGAATAATTATTATGCTTTTATTACATTTATCAGTTTTGTGATTCTCAATTCAGTGATTTATTTAAACTGCAATTAACTGTTTTTAAATTTTCAATAAAATATTTGAAATAAAAGAATATTTGAAAATTTAGATTAGTTTATATGGCTTGCTGAGCTGTTATAGCTCACTGTGGTTTTACTTCTGGTTTTTAGGATCTGGTAAGGAGAAAAAGGTTTTGGACTAGCAATTCAAGATCAGACATGATGTCATAGGTATTTCGCTCTTTTGATTTTTGTATATCCATGGTTAATTAAATTTTTAATTCTGTAGCTCTTGCCTGTAGTCATCTACTGTAGTGTATATTTTTATTTTAATGAATGAAAAAAATTTTATGGATGAGTTTTTCAGTATTTGGATATTTTAACAGCTATGTAGTTTGTCATTTATTTCAATGAATATTGGCAGAAAATCTGAAAATAATTCCAAAACTAGATCTTAGGGTTTGCTTGTCATAGCTTAACATGATAGGACTTGTCCTAATCGGGTTAGGTTGTGACATTGAGTTGGCCTTCAATGGCGGCCCATGGTTTGTCAATGGCTAGCTATTCATCTTCGAAAAGGGGTCTCCAAGATTCAAGTCCATAAAGGAAAATTTTAAGGATAATCCTATATGGGTTAAACTTTCTAATCTTCCTTTTGGTCGTTGTAATGAGAATAGTATTTTCAAAATCACAAGAAAAATTGAGGAGCCTTAACCTTCCCTCAGGCTCCTCAATCCCAAATAATATACCCCCCTGAATAGGTGTAAAAGCTCCATCAATGTTGCAAAGCTTTTTTGTCAGGATCCTGCGAGGCCCTCTTGTCAAGATCTTAGTAATTAGATGTCATGTTTTTTAAGAAATATTAGAAATATTATATCATATTTTAACCTTCCCTCATGCTCCTAAATCCCAAACAATGTGCCCCTCCAGCCCCTTCTCAAACCACTAAAGCACTTGCATCTCATCCCCCTTCAAAGAGCTACAAGCAAAACCTCTATTAATCTTTATCTAACATCCACTACCATTTTCTCTCTTAACCCAACCAATATTCTCAAGGAAACATTTAATCCTAATCAAGTAACCTCTACCCTTCCCCCCAAAAGGATGAAATCTTGACAATGAAATCCCTCCTCTTTAAACTGAGTATTGTTTATGATTTAATTAACAACTAGGAATGTGAGAGGTTTTCATGGGAGCATGCATGTTCATAATTGCAAATACTTTTTTACTTTGAGAATGTATTGACATTATTGCTCTTCTAGAAACTTAAGTCAACTTTTATCCCTGCCCTCTCTTGACTTTTTTGTTATGTGGAAGTTCCAACTCTTTCAAAATAAAATGGATTGTAATAACTTTAAAATTTATTCAAGTGGTAGAATCTGTATCAAATGGGATTATGCAAAGGTTAATTGTTTGTTCTTCTTGCTCAACTATATTCATCTTTGATTTTCTTCAATATTCACCCAGTAACAAGTTCAACACTTCTTTTATTTATATCGAAAATGGTGCTAAAAAAGAAAGCTCTTTGAGATGCTATCTTTGTTATGGCTGGTCAAATTTCTAACCCATGATTTATTCTTGAGGACTTTAATTGTATTAGACAATCCAATTAAAAACCAAGGGGTTTCCATATATCAAAATGTTGGACTTTAATGTACACACTCAAGGCTAACTTTAGAAGCACCCCAACAAAAGACTTATTTCATAGTTGGTTCGACCACCAAATTGACACTCTTATCAAATGTCTTCCTGATAAGTCTTTATGTAAATTGACATGGTTGTATGCTTTTACTCTTCACATACAACAAGATTTGCTAACCCTTCTCCCTTAATCACTCATAGTTGTCAGTGAAATTGGGCCTCTCTCACCCTTCCAACCATAAATTCATCTATAAAAATTACTAGAATTAAGTGTTTGACTATCATAATTTGGTTAGCAATGCTTGGAACTCAACTATTTATGCTAAACTATGTTCGCTTCTTGTAAAATCAAATAGTGCCAATGCCAAATTTTAAAAATGGCAATTAAGAATCCTCCACTATTGCCCAACTCTACATTGAAAACAGCCCTAGATGCTATTCTTCAACTTCAAGAATCTCAAACCCTTAGCAAAGTTCTCTTACACAAGGCCTTCATTATTCAAAGAAATCTTATTAAAGCCATGACTATGAAATCTAAATGGATTAAACAGTGCACCAAATATGCTTGGATTGGGAAGGGAGAAGATGACCTTAAATATCTCTACCATCACATTAAGGATAAAAGAAATTGGAATACTATCAAAGAATCAACTCCCCCCTAACTCTGCTCATGTTTTTATTGGCAGATTTGGAAAATAATGACATCAGAGAAGCTTTTCTTTTTTTTTTATTTTTTTTATTTTTATCATTAGCAAGGATAAAAATCCCTCTCTGGTTTGGATAGGTTCACCTTCAAATTTTGTGTAGAAGCATGAGGAGTTATTGATTATGATCTTATCATTGCTATCCAATACTTCACTGCTAAGCTTTTTGAGAGGATTACACATCAATTTTCCTCTGAAACACACTATATAAAATATTTGCTAAACTTCTCACTAGTAGACTCAGAACAAGTCTTCCCTTCTATTATTAACAATGTTTAATCCACTTTCATTCAAGGTAGGGATATAACAGATAACTTTGCTACTTTCAAGTTTTTTGAAGTTTCACATATAATTTCTCAAAATAATTATGTGAAAAGTAGGTCCTTTACAAGGCCTTTTATTGTTGTGTTAACCTAGAAATCCGTTCCAAAAGGATGTTAAAAAAGGCTTCCCTAAGGCCTCTATCAATTGGACTAATGGCTGCATCAACAACTCCTCATTCTCTGTCGTTATTAATGGAGCTCTCAAGGGCTACTTTAATGGTGCCAATGGCTTGAGACAAAGTTGACCCCAATCCCCTTTCCTAGTTATTTAGACGATTTAAGATAAATTCACACTCACACATCACATACATAAGACCTCTTAATTAGTAGCAAAAACTTTCAACCAACAAACCAAGATGAGCTGCATAAATACTCTAGATACATATGAACAAAGCTTTCTAGTTTAAAAACATTCACAAACTATAAACTCGCCAATCTTCTCTGAATGAGAAAATGATTCAAAATAGTCCATTTTCTTTTTATTAAAGATCAAAATAGTCTTCAACTATATTAAATGATTATTTTGATCCGTCAAATACTTAAATAGAAACCAAAATTGTCTCACCATAAGACTATTTTAATTCCTTTTAAACACTTGAAAAACCAAAATGATCTTTTAAATAATTAGTTTCATTCTAATCTTTCATACAAAGTTAAGAGAGAATTTTGATCATTTTCAACCAGCTGAACAGTATTGAAACAATATGCCTTAAACTTTCTTTCCCATCTACTCCTTGGCAACCACAACCAACTGCTTCCCAACATTTCTGCCGAAGAAAAGACCTACCAAGGCGCTGGGCGCATTCTCAAGCCCCTCGACGACATCCTCCACATATGCGATTGTTCCATCCTTTATATGAGGTACAGTAAACTCGAGGAACTCGGGATATCTGTCGATATGATCGAAGAGGATGAAGCCTTCGAACCGAATGCGCTTCGTGATGATGAAGATCAGGTTGCGGACGCCTTCGGGCTTCTCAAGATTGTACTGTGAAATCATCCCGCAGGCTGAAATGCGGCCATGGATCCTCATGTTGGGAAGAACAGCATCCAGCGTTGCACCGCCTACGTTCTCGAAGTAGATGTCGATGCCTTGGGGAAAACGTCTGTGGAAGAAATAAAATAGTTTAGGGTTTGAATCATGGTGGGTCAAATTGAAAGCAGAAATTTTGATTGGTGGACTGTTTGATTCTAATCAATGGATGCAACGATGGAGAAATACATTTTTGAATTTGAATGTATGGTGCCCAGTCTTTACTGTATAAACAAAAGAAGTAGGATGGTAAGTGTTTACTATCAAATCATTTTGAATGAATTTGGGACGAACAAATCAATAAATCTTAATTACCAACTGTTGGATTGATCCTCTTATGATTCTTACATTTTAATTTATATGTCTTTTATTTTTCTTCTAGTTGACAGCTCCTCTTTTAAACTTTTTTCCTTTATTTTGTAACTAGCTTTGTATTGTTTCCATCGAAAGACCTTTGAAGAAATCCAGACATACTTTCATGCTTTGTACAGAATTAAACAATAAGATTCAATATAATTTTTTCTATTTGTCTACTTTTATATATTTTATTAGAATTAAGTTAAGATTTCATGTTTTCAAATCTTTTTATTGAACGGATTCTTCCTTATCTTCATAATGCTTGATTTGTCAATCATCATGAATGGTGAAAAAGAGAAATTAAGAGAAAACAATGAGTTATAAGCTTCATATTGCTTGAAAGAGAGAAATTATCTAAAGTAATCCCCATGGTTTAAAATTGCGCAATATGAGGCTCGCCTTGAGGCCCGCCTTTGCGCAATTCTAGTAAAAAACGCCTCGATGCTTACGCCTCGAGTTTTTTTTATGAGGCTTGCGCCTCAACTTTGTTGAGGCCCGCCTCGCCTCACTGGCATGAGGCTTATGCCTCACGCTATATATATTAAAACTTACATAAATTTTGAAGTAAATGCCCGACATTGGACTCTATAGGAGAGGATGAAGGGGAGAGAGCAGTTCATCATAATGATGATTCAAATGAAGAACCCCTTAGTGATGACAGTGCTCATGACTTACGAGTTTTTATGTGATATGTCATTGCTATTTATTTTTGAAAATTGAAATTATATTTTAATGAAAAGAATATTGAGATTTGGGAAAGATAGAATTTTAAGTTGAACTATATTTCATGTTGTTTTATTATTGAGATATTTTGATTTCACTTTATATCTTATGCTATTTTATGTTTTATATTAGGGATTTTTACATACATACCACTTTATAACATGCATATTACATATTTAACACCTAATTCTTAAATATTACACTCTTACCATCTATCCTCTATTTTCACAACAAAATTACGACTCCGTTAACAGCAATACCTCACTCCGTTTTATCTTCCTCCCGTCTGGGCTTTTCGCGGGAGAACAGGTTTTTTTTCCCGCTGCTGTTCTTTGTCCGATTGTGAATCATCGCGATTTTTTTTTCAAATCCCTTCGTATTTACTCTTCCACTGTAGCTGCTCTTCGATAGCGTAGCTGCTCTTCCAGCTACCCGTCGATAATCTTCCACCGTAGCTGCTCTTCCAGCTACCCGTTGCTGCTCTTCCACCATAGCTGCTCTTCTTCCGAAATTGGTAAGATTTCTCTGTTTTTTTATTCCCGCGTGAACAGATTTTTTTTCTTATAGCAATACTCGACATCAGTTTTTACTCATTCAATAATGGCTTTACTGAAAATGTTCAAAATGAGGATGTTTGATTTTTCATTCAATAAAGATTTCAGAAGAGTTGCGAGGAAGATTTGCAGCCTGCGAGAGAAAGATCTATGAAGATATGCAGCCCGTGAGAGGAAGATCGGGAGAGAAGATGGTTTCGCGGTGGTTAGGGCTAGCCGAATGAAAGAGATGGAGTGAGGTCTTATTTCAACGGAGTGGTAATTTTGTTATAAAAATAGAGAATAGTGGTAGGAGTGTAATATTTAAGAATTAGGTGTTAAATATGTAATACACATGTTATAAAGTAGTATGTATGTAAAAATCCCTTTATATTATTCACTCATTAGTATATAAAAAATTTATCATTTTTTGTTTACGCGATCTTTTGATTTTGAGGCTTACGCCACAAAACGCCTTAAGGCTTGCCTCGCCTCACGAATGAAAAACGCCTCAATACCCGAATATGCAATTTTAAACATTGGTAATCCCAAATTGTGAAAACATCTCTAAAATGAAAGGAAAAAATCCATCACCATATGGATTATCCTCCAGAGTTGAAAAGCCCAAAGTTTATATTTTTGGATGAAGCAAATTTCATAATCATGACATGATTAATGCATGAAATTAATGGGTCATATTTATGTTTCACTCTATCAGAAAAGAAGTTTATGACGCCATACAAAAATGCACTTAATATCAAAGAATATTAACCTCATCTACGAGATCAAAACTAAAATCTTAACAATAAAATAAAAATAACCTTCATATTATTGACTACTTTAATGCCATGATTACCAAGATCTAAAAATAACATATTATATTACGGTGATGTAATAATTATAAAGCAAATTGTAGAAAAAAAGGGCGTTCGAGCTTTTTTACAAACTCAACAATGATTTGACCAAGCTCATATCTAAATCTTAAGAAGAGAAAATCTACCATCATTAAAAGAGATTTTTTTTTTCTCTCATATGAGTTGAAGATAGATGAAGGATGATAATGCTAGACGCTCCAGTCTTCAAAACATCTATTATGACAACCAACAAACTCAAAGCTAAGGAACTAAAAACTCTTTTCTAAAGATAGATAAAAAATCCTTTTTCCAAAGGAAATTTATGGCGCAACTACTACAAGAAGATAAAACACAAAAAATGCTGGAGATTCCACAAAAAGCCCCCAGTTATGATAGAAATAGAGGTTATCGAAAAAAAACATGCATGCTTTGTGAAATAATAAAAAAAAAAAAAAACAAATCGTGAAAAAATTGAAGAATTTGTGAATTTTCCCAACTCTTTGTAAAAATTATCACGAATATGCTCAATAGCTCAAAATAGTATGAACTCTAACTCTTGTGTTTCTAATACCTTAATTAATATTTCTCAAGCCTATATTTTCAATTCAAGAGTCATTGACCACATGACCAACCTTATCAATCTTTTGTAAACATGTAAAGCCCCACTCTACCTATAGAAAAAAAAAAAGATCATCGAGTCTTTAATAATTATAGTAGGACAAAGAAATGTTTAAATTTCAACCAAATTTACCTTTAATAATAATATATTGGATGTTCCTCATCGGACGGTAAATTTTTTATTAATTAATACAATTATTAACTATAACAACAAGGTAACCTTTTTTTCTTATTCATTGTGCATTTAGTACCTTACTATGGAGAAGAAAATTAGGCAAATTTAAAAAAATAATAAGTTATATTTTCCTGAAAACAAAAACTACTTATCATGCTCCTTCACTTTCAACCTCAATACATAGCCATTTGAAAAAATCATTATAAGCAAGAGCATCCTTTTTTTTCAAAACCCTAATGTGCATGTTTTCTTCTCTTTTTGGAATGTAAACATGAATAATTTTAATTTTGAGACTTGTTAAATTATCAAATATTATATGTTATTTTTCTAAAACCTACTACTCTTTTCTAATTGTTCATACTGATATTTAGAGGGAAAAAATTTTAAATGAAATTATATATAAATTAAATATTAAAAAAGGGGAATTAACATAATAGATCTAGTCGCTAATATCGACGTCGACTTAACTGCCACGTTGACAAGTCACCGTTTCCATGACGACCTGGTAATTTGACTTTTAAAATTTTGCCTATTTACATACCCTCAAAAAAGTCCCAACATTTTTGGAGCTATAAGACTTATCACATTCATTGATAATTGGGGTATATATGTCATAAAAAAAATGATGTAGCATTATTCTCCCCATTTTACTGTCATGATACTAAAATAATTTCAGTTGATCATATAGGCATTTTGGACAAAAAATGCTCATGATTGCTTAAATCACACATTATTGTCTTTCTATATAAAGTGTATCATCCGTCGATCCTCCTGTCTTGACACTTCCCAACAAAATGGCATGAAAAAAAAAAATCACCATCTTCAAGAAGTCATCAGTACTATTCTCTTCTAAAATCAAGCGTTTTGAACCTGAAACCCTAAAAAAATTCCTTACAAAAATGTTTGGATGCATCGTCTATTGGCCACATCCACAAACAATACAAGAATGAACTTGATATTAGAGCTCTCAACTGCATCTTTATTGGGTATTCTTCCACTCAAAAAAGATATAGATGCTATCATCCTATCACACAAAAAATTTCCTTACTTCAAATGATGTCATCTTTGATAAGAAACAAATTTTTTTCAATTAATCTCATATTAAGGGCAAGAACTCTAAAATAGAAGATAAGTTTGATGAAATTTCTATCTTTTTATTTTAACATTCCTATAACAAAACCGCCAAAATTCAGATATTGCATCATTTCAATTCTATACAAAAGGAGATAAGCTCAACCAAAATCTTCAATAAGCTCAAGACTCAGAACCGTTATTAGGTAACAATGATTAACACATCACCGCAAAATATCATTTGTATCTAATCTCCCAAAAGATCTTTTTCAAAATATTTCTCTTCTCCGTAGTGCCTTTTATAGAAGTATCAGCTCTTGTTCCATTATTATACTATAAAATCTATTTGAGGCAATTGAAGACAAGAATAAGAATGATGTGTTGAAAGAAGAGATGAATGCACTACTTAAAAAAATCACACTTGATAGATTGTTAAACTACCATAATTGTAATACAAATATAATTAATATTGAATTTATCTCGAAGCAGATGTAATGGCTTTAAATTAATCCTAACTAGTTTTTTATCAAAAAATCCTTATAATTTTTTTCCTATTTTAAACATGTTTAGCCTATTTCCCAATAGCTTTGAAACATGTTGTACTTACTTTCCAACAGAGCATTTGAAATTCAAGGCAAAACCTAGCAACACAAATGGAGAGAAATAATAAATTTATTTTCTACTTATATTATAGAATATAATTTGATATGGTTGTTTGAGCGTCAAGCATGAGCCTAAATCAGGTCCAGATCAGTTCATCTTGCGTGATGATCAACTCACGATCAAGATAATATCCTCAGCTGTGCAAAAGCACAAATGGGTCATCTGTGCTTTTAAATTAAAATGAAAGCGCTGCAGAAGAAGCACGGGTGATTCTTCCGAGTCTCAGATCCTCTCATTCATACACATACATTCATGCATGATCTGGTCTCCAAATTGCTTTAGCTATAATCTAAAATTATTGTTGCTTTAAGAGAATATATAATTGGATTCAGCCATGCCCACCGCCCAGCCAGGCTCAGCATTTCTGTTTTGATTATGGAATCTCTACGAGTTGTATCATTTGAAACTTAGTTTGCAACTTAAAACCCCCTAAGATATTGAGTGTCCTATCCAGAATTGCAGTAAATATGACATGAAGCATAAGATGATCTTAAATATGTTCAGCTTTTGATAACTACACAGATGGAAAAAGTAAGAGTTAACCTCTTCAAAGCAGCATTAAGATCACTCTCCTGCTTATAGTTGAATGCATCGTCAAACCCAAACTTGTCTTTCAGTAGATTTACCTGAACAAGCAACATAGATGACGGACTTACATTACAGTCTCTACTTGGAGTTTCTCAAAAAGAGAATTACTGATCAAAAGTGTTTACTCATGAAGAAATCACCACAATCAAATTGATAATCGCAAGAGAAAAGAATAATACTAAGAATATCACAGTTAACTGATAATAGACGCCATTTCATTAAAAAAAAAATATAAATTACAGCAAATGATGCTTTTGAAGGATTGTGGGACCTACAAGTCAACCAATCTTGATAAGGATCCTTAAGTACACAAATTAAGGATTCTAATAGAGGGTCGTGAGCCTCCTCTCCCTATTTTACCCATCAGCCCCTCTTGGGAACTTTTTTATTCTTTTCTTATAAATGCTTTATTTATTTTCATTGTAAGCATTTTGAAAAATTCTATATATATTTCCATACTTTGATTCATACTTTGTATAGAATCAGGTAATAAAACTCAAAATAATTTTTTCTACTTTTCTACTTATTTACAGATGCAAACTACAATTCAACAAAGATTAGTAGCTTAACCAAAAGATATAAATAGTTCATCATTGTGCAAGGAAATGAGGTCATTTTATAGCTAGCTATTTACATTTATAGGAAAACTTCTGGATTCATTACAAATTAACCTCAAATCAAGCCCAATCAAATGAGTAAGAAGCTGAATCATATGAGTTTGTTTAACTCAATAGGAAGACATGAGATAATTTCCTAAATAGGTATTTATCATATTTAAGAAAGAACTTTCAGTATTAACAGATTCTTAAAAAACATTATTCTTAAATGCATTGCTGCGCATTTTACCCAAATGCTGAAATCATACTCCATCAAGTTATGAGCAATCGAAATATTAATTTGTTACCATTGTTTCACATGGAAGCTAATATTTCTTCTACTGATTTAACAAGATAACCAACTGGAAACAAGAAAATTTTATCAGTTGTAGGATACCTTTTCATCAGACCCGGCACTTCCAACCACATAACAGCCCATTAGCTTGGCAAATTGTCCAACAAGCTGGCCAACCGCTCCCGAAGCAGCTGATATGAACACATACTCTCCTTTCTTAGGCTTGCATATCTCAAAAAATCCAATATAAGCTGTAAAACCTGGCATTCCTGCAAATAAAAAATTACAATAATTTATGTTGTGGAAATCAGAAAATTTTCCTAAATCAGATTTCAGCGCCATTACCTTCGTAAGAAAAATATATAATAAATACATAATGAGGACAAATTCCTTGGGTGCAGTGATACAGAAAGTTCAACCACAAAATAATCCTATTTTTACATATTTGCCAATTAATAAAGTTCAGAATGATGTGGGTAAGAAAGCAACAACTTAAGCATCCGCTGAAAGAATGGCATAATAACATATAACTGGTTTGATGCATTAGAGCACAACCAAAATTACTAAAGAATTTCGGGTGATAAATGTAAATGGGCTTACTCACTGGTTTTCTCTGGAAGCATGTATTTCTACAAAAAAACCAAAGGAGGACTAGATAATCAGATTACGCATATCCTATAAAACATAAAATACCTGAGTATTACATAGAAAAATTTAATTTACATAAATAGTTTTCTTCAAGGTGGGCAGATTTCCACAATTTGAACACAAGCCCCGAGTTCCTTTCATGGAACAGGCTATCGTCAATGCATGGGCATGCTAGGGAAAAATGTGAGCTTGAGAGCAATAACAAACAAGTTAGAGGGAATATATAGCATAGATAAAAAATTAAAAAACAAAAACAAGAGAAAGATCTACGTGGTTTGCCAAAGTTCTCCCACGAGGTTTGACTCAGCGTCCCAACCTTATCAGGTTATGCTTTTGGCAGCTCAAAGGACGGTTTCTTTTCCGTTGGCTTTACCCATCAAGTTAGTCATCAGCCTGCTGAAACAAGTAACCTGATTTGTAATCCATCGTTGTCTTATTGCGGTTCCTACTTCCCAAACCCGTTGAGTCTCCTTTGATATGTCAGGACTTACGTCTAGTCTAGCAAAAAAGTTCACCAAAATTTTCATGCCCTCCGAGCTTATAGTGGAATCCAAATATGCAATATTGTAAGATTTTGTTTTTGGGCACTTAAAGGAAATTCATCAGCCTTCTCTCAGTCTGTATACAGAATATCAAGAATTTCATTTACTTTAGATGAATCTTTTGAAGTCGAAGGAGTTGATGTAGTTTATTCTAATCACCTTCACTGTCATTAGGATTTTTGTTTCATACATCTAAGAGTCTTTATCATGTATTTTATTTTTAAAAAACATTTGTATAGTGAGCACTTTATGCATAATGTGAACTTCAATGCGCCATGTAGTAAGGCATTTTCTTCTTGTGAGGCAAGTCAAAAGCCTCAAGGCATTTTAAGAGTAATCCTAAAACTCAATAAAAAGAAACATCATAAAAATTTGAGCTCAGTTTTCTCCCAACAAAGCTTTTGATGACAATACAAAAGTGTCAAAGTAATATCATAAAAAGTCATACAAGTATTCAATAATAAGAAAAAAGTTTAAGATAAATAAATTAATAAAAAGTTTGAAATAAATAAGTAAATATGTCCTAAAATAAAATAATTTTGTATTCGGGCACCGAGTTCAAAAGTATTTCCCACTCATTATTTAGGACTCCAATAGAATCATCATATAGTTTATTATTTTCTTGCCTACCTCATCGTTCTTGCATCAACATCCTCTCAATCTTCGCCATCATATTCTTCCTCCATAATCAATAAAACCGAATTGAAAATTATTTAAAAGAATGATTATATTAATTATTTATAATTTCTATTACATAAAGTTTTATAGTAATATTTATTATCTCTTTATTATCGACTTTTGATGTTCTCATTCTTTTCTCCATAAAAAAATTCAAAATTGAGATCTTTGTCTTATAATATTGAGAGGATTGAGGCACACCTCATTACACCCCTAAAATGGAGGATTGAGGGGTTTTAGCTTATTGATGCATTTTCCATGTAAAACCCTAAAATAGAGGATTGAGGCACACCTCATTACACCCCTCAAGACATGCCAAACACTTGTGTCAATGCTCTTTATCCCATAGTGAGGTGTAAGCCTCAAGGTGCTTTACATATGCCTCACCAAACACAATTTTAAACAACGATGTATTTACCACAAGAGCTAAACCAACCTTCATTCCTCCTATTCTCTCTCCTCATGAAGTTGTTGCTTCCCTCTTTATTAATAGAAAATATAAAAATTGAGTTGTGCTTTAAGTGATATTTGTAACCCACATGCAACACTTCAAGTCCCCACCACAATTACTTGATTATCCTTCCCCAAGCCCTTGATCGACTACCTCCTCTCTATGGCCTCTCATTCCATCCAAGAATCTCAACTCATCACAACTCTCACTTACATCCCACCTTTTCCTTCAATGACAAACTAAGATTTAACAACCCAGAGTTAAACCACTTTTTGATCTAGGATGGTCCAACTGAATGACCCAACCTATGTTACACCGATACACCTATTTATGAAGGCGTGCTGTATCTGATACACCAATACACGGATACACCTCCGATACGGCACCGATATCCAACTGAAATACTATTTAATTTCAAAAGGACACGCGTATCCGATATGCGTGGCCATTGAAAAACAAAAAAACCGAAAAATAACCCCATCATATTTACTTCCACGACTGCAAGCGAGGTTATCTCATTTACGAGATGGATTTGAGTCTCTTGATGATATGAGAATATTAGAAATTGTTAATCTTTAATTTTATGAGTCTGAATTAGAAGCTATGATATTTATTGAAGATGATATAGGAGTTCAAAGACAAACTACTGAAGAAGCTAATCATATCATTCCTTCTATTGAATAGTTGAAACTTCATATGCTAGACAATTTATATTTATGCTTTTGTTGTTGTACTAGACATTTAATGCTTACTTTTATTTTGATATTATAAACTACAAGGCTACAAATGATGTTACTTTTATTTTTTTTATATAATTTCAAATATTATGCTTTGATTGCTTTCTTAATTTTTATGTATGATTTATAAATTATAATGTCGTGTCCGCGCCGTACCCGTATCCTATATTTTTAAGAATTGACGTGTCCCGTACCCATATCGTGTCATATTCATGTCTCCGTATCCGTATCAGTGCAACATAGGACCCAACTCAATTGCCTTCTCACTTCCTTATATCCTTCTTAACATTGAATCGATGTCTTCAGGTGAAGGGGGCCTATGAGAGTCAACTAAGCAAGAAAGAGAGAGCAATGAGAGCAAAGAGCTAGAGAAGACAGAGAGTTGGTGAGTGCCTAGGTAGGCGCATACGATGGAGGGATCCCAAGCATGATGGGGCATGCGATGGAGGGATCCCAAGCATGATGGGGTTGTCGACTGGGTGAGTCAAGAGATTACGATAGCCTGGGTTTTAGCTTTTGCTTCAAGGACTTGAACCAAGTAGTGAGAAGGAAGACACCACTAGGGTTTCACAGGAACAATTTTTCTTCCACTTCTTTATTAGCATAAGATAAGACTCCAATCTAGTTTTCTTCCTTAGGTGTAATAGCTACTCATGATTTGTTATTATGGTTGAGATTAAGTTATCATGTGAAAGCAAATCTTTATATATTTTAATTCTAAAAATTTTAAATGTTGCTCTGCAATAATATTTGAAATGTATGGATATTGTATTTTGATTTTCATTCTAACCATATAAGATTAGAGAGAGTCACCTTAGATGGTTTGGTCACATAAAACGTCAACCTTTCGATGACCCGGTTAAGAGAGTAGATGTATTATATTTGGTCTATATTAAAAAAGGTAGATGGTAGACCTAAAAAGACTTGGTTAGAAAGCATTAAAAATGACATTTTTATTAGATTTAAATAAGAATTTTGACTTTTAATAGGGCACAATGGAGAAAAAAGATTCATGTAGCCGAACCCATATAATGGGATAAAAGCTTTATGTTGTTGGGTTAAATTTTTTTTGAGTTTTTTTATCTCTACTAAAAATCAGCTCATAAATGCTTGCCCACTACTTATTCAGCTCATAATTTGGAAATTTATTAGGTTCATTCCCCTCATTTGCTGCCCCTTTGGTTTCCCCACCTAACTCTTCTTCCCATGGTTGTCACGACCCGGCCCGGGTACTCGGAACTAACGAGACGGGTACGAAAAGTCGGACGATAAAATTCATTAAACACTATATTATTTCATTTATACTAAAGAGCCACTAACCACAAATTGTAAAATTACCTGTTGTCATTTGCACGTCGTCTTCTGTAAACATGTTCTTCTCTTTCAGCCATTATTTCTTTAGAAATATACCTGAAACATTTAAACTCGTGGGTTGAGTTTACTAAGTAAACTCAGTGAGTATTTAATTAAAACAATCAATACGCATATAGATATGTGGATTATATCCTTTCTTAATCTTATTTCTTTCATTTCACTGATTTATACTTCTTCAGATATCTTCATTTAAAATAATTGTTACCTTTAATATTTCATTTATATTGTCTTTTCCCATCTGTTTTGCACAGGAGCACCGTCTCAAAGGTACCCAAAGGTACAACCTTTTCCATTTTCATATCATTTTGCTTATCCTTTTCCGTGCACGAGTACGGCGTCTCCAGCCAGTACCATAAGGGGGTGAACTCCTGTCATTTTCAATACCTTTTCCTTTATTCACTTTTCTCTTCTTTTCTCATTTTCATTCTTATTATTACCATTGCATACAACATATCTTACATATATCTCTATAAATATTACTTATCATTTGCATATACGAATCATATACATGTGTATGTTTTCTTTCTAAACTTTACTTTCTATTTCTTGATATACTCATTACATATCCTTTTTCTTTTCCATAATTGTACTCATACATGCCGTTGCTTATTTAGTTAATCATTTCCAACAGTAGCAGAAATCATAAATCTAAATAATTTTATATATACTTCTTTCTAAATGAAAAATAGAATTGAAATAAAGAAATTTAAACTTTTATAAATACCCACTTTAATCCTTCAAAATTCTCAATCCTTGGAGCAACCTCAACTTCGAATTCCTACAACATCCACAAAATATAACTTCTATAAAAACATGCTTTCATAAAAAAGTTAAATTAA